AAAAGAAGAGACGAGAAAAAAGCACTTTAAGTAAGGCAATAAAAGAAGAAAGAGCGGATGAATTGCTTTACTCACATCTGACCAACCATAGCCAACCAGAGAAGGCGCTATCACTTCATAAACATGGTCGTGTATGTCGGAAACTTCAACCAAAAGATTTATAAAGTCGTATAATTCGCGCACCGAGGCGGGCCAGCCATGCAGCAATAACAATGGCACTACCTTCTTCTGCTTGCGCGCTGCCTCTGAAGGTTTGGCGTGTATGTAGTGTATTTTGAGCCTAAAAAATTAATTGATGCCAGTTGAGAAAAACGAATGCAAAAAATGTTAGATGCCTTGCTTGTTTACCCCTGAATCTCGGTTTTGAAGTGTGGCAGCGAGTTCAAATAGGCCTGGCGTTGACTCCACTTGGGCAAATAGAATTCACGCCAGTAGATGACAATATGTTTGAGCGCTTCCGTATTGAAACCATATTGGAATTTAATGCCATCCAATGGTGCTGCATACTTCCAGGTGCGGTTGAGTTGTGCGCGTAAATCGTCAATGATCTGCAGAGAATACAAATTGCTTAATTATTTATGTACATATGTAACTACATATATTCGTAATGTCAATTGCACAAACCGTTTGATCGTATTTGATTTTAAAAGGCACAATATCTTCCGGCGCCTTGTAGTCTAGCCCCGAGCCAGGTCCCCAGTAAACATTTGTATCGAATTCCGGTTTAGGTAGTGGTTTCACTAAATTGTTGATACCGTGGTAAAGCCATGCGGTTATGCAAGCCAATACGGTAATACTAATTAAAATGGCCTTCATCTTCAGCAGTTGTAATCGGTTGACTTCTGCTTGCCGAAATTATTTGAATTGTTTTTTTTTTTTTTTATCAATCACTGGTGGTGCTTAGCTGAGTGGAAGTGCGTGATTAACACTTTGTGGATATCACGGTTAAGAACTTAAATATCAACGACTGCTTACAACGCTAGTCGTCCACACACTAATTGGCTTGTGTCAACGACGAACAGGTACTATGTGGTTTTCTCCTACTATGATTGTAGATATTTATATATATATATATATATGTGTATGTTTTTATAGTTTCTGTATTTTTAAATTCGTTTTAAAGGTATTCACTTACCTAATTAAATTTATTAAAGAAATGTTTAACAAATGTTTAATTGTCTTTTCGGGCAAGCACTAGCAAGTGTGTAAGAGCCAAGTATTTATTTTTTTTTATTCAACGGATATCTTAACTTAATATTTTAAGCGAGAATTTTTTGTACATTTATTTACCTACATACATATATATATATATATGTATGCATACATAAATACATTTGAGCAAGTCTCCGGAACCGTGTGCCTTTGTGTCACTCACCTTTAAATTAATTTTATTAATGTAATTTACCTAAATTATGGAGGGAACACTTTTCCACCCTACTGAATTGTAGCAGCACGGAAAGTTGTGGAGAAGACGAACCCGAGTCCTCAGTCGATAATGACGGAGTCGATGTTCTTCCGCCGGACTATGACGAGGTACGTATAGCAATAACGCGGCTGAAAAACAACAAAGCTGCTGGAGCTGACAGCCTGCCAGCTGAGCTATTCAAGTACGGTGGCGAGGAGTTGATAAGGTGCTTGCATCAACTCTTATGCAAAATTTGGTCAGATGAACGCAAGCCCGACGACTGGAATTTAAGGGTGTTCGGCCCAATCCACAAGAAATTCGACACCGCCTTTCGCGCCACCTACCGCGGGATCAGAATTATAAGCATAGGTTATAAGGTCTTATTACTGAAGCCCACCGTCAGTGAACTGATTGGGCCTTATCAGTGTGGCTTTAGAACTGGCAAATTCACCATAGATCAGATATTCACAATATGTCAAAATCTGGAAAAGACCCGAGAGAAAAGGATCAACATGGATCACATATTTGGCGACAGAACTAGAAGGAGTTGCCTATATGCCGTTGAATTTGGCATCCCCGCCAAGCTGATACGGCTATGTAAAATGACGTTGAGCAATACCACCAGCTCCGTCAGAATTTGGAAAGACCTCTCCGAGCCGTTCGCCACAAAACGGGGTTTCAGACATGGGGACTCCCTCTCATGTGACTTTTTAATCTATTATTGGAGAAGATAATAAGAGCTGCAGAACTGACCCACTCAGGAACAATTTACTAAAAGAGCGTGCGAGTGCTGGCTTATGCCGTTGACATCGACATCATCGGTAACAAAAATAGCGAAGTCTGTTCTGTTTTTTCCAAGTTGGATAAGGAAGCAAAGCGAATGGGTCCATTTTTCGGTTCTTACGGAATTCAGTTTAAGTTCTTTCGGAATTCAGTTTCGGTTCTTCGGGAACTATTTTTGGATTCTTTCGGGATCGAGTTTTGGTACTTCCGGAACCCCTTTTGCGGTTCTTTTGGAATCCAGTTCCTTGGTTATGTGCATCACTACTAGGAATACAACGATGTCCCTGCGCACCTCTAACAACTTGGCTCCGGCGACACGGCAAAATAATATTTTCTTACACTTAAAAAGCTCAAATCCATCGCATTTTTTTATTAATAATATAGGTACGTATATATTACAAGTTAATTTTTACACAAAATTAAAAAAAAAAAATTTACTGCGATTTTGAAATATACATACTTAGTCGTTAGTTATGAGTTTGTGAAAACGTTGTTCCCCACATACTAAAAAGTTAAAAAACCAATATTTAATTTTAGCTTTACAGCTGAAACTACTTCTAACGCTTAATTATTGCTTTTTTCATCAGTCACTTATTACTATAAGTGCACAAAACTTTTCAAACCATTACATGAATGCCCCCATCATTTATTCAATTCTCATGTAGTACAAACTTTTTTCTGTTCGCACATTTTTAAGCAAATGTATGTAAGTATGTATGTATACGAGTTTGTACTCGACGTTCGTCGTTTCTCCTTGTACCCTCTGCATTAATTTTATCTTATCAAATTTTATAAGAATATTGAATTTTTTATAAATCATATTTTATATTAGTCTTCTAGTACATACAACACTGTAGGCTCTGTGGTGTAGCCAATGATTTGCTGATACCAGTCTTCAGCTTTCCAACGTTGACGTGGAATTTGTGTAATACTTGGGTATCTTTCCGTTCATACCAATTCAGAGAGTAAAAGACATTTTTATAACCGACGGCACTTGTGCACAACGGTATTATATCCTTGTTCACATAACTGTTGTTTGTAACAGTCAAAACGAATCGAAATGTATAAATAAATGATTAGAATGAAAAAAATTCAATTGGCTAAAAAAAATTTTAATTCGGCCAATAACCACGCGCACATCCCATATATATATATATATATCTTTGATAAATCAGAAGATACTGAATTCAAAATTGATATTTGCAATAAAGCTTTAACAGGAAATACTCTTATAACAAATTCTTGGAAAATGGGCGTGGAACGGCCCACTTATGACCACATACACTTGTGGTCCGCTGATTAATTTAAGTGACATTTTGACCAGTTTTGGCTATTTTCCTTTGTTTATTTAATGGTTAAAATTTTTTGTTTTATAAAAGTCTAGCAAATATATATATAAAATATATATACATAAATCCACATTTCAAACTTCGCAAAAAAAAAAATGAAAAGTACCCAAAACTACTCAAAATGCCACTTAATTTAATCACCTGACCACAAGGGTATATAAGGGTCGCTCATTAGGTCTAACTGAACATACTATCGAAGATGTTTGGAATAGGGGTAAACCCCTGGCCCCTGCTTACCATGTAAAAGTGGTTTTCGGAAAGGTGAAAGAACTATATTTAATATGTGCGTCGGATATTTAATATTCGGCTTCGCCCGAACTTAGGCTTTTTACGTATCTGATTTTAAATTGCTTGCATTTCTTCAATAATAGGTGTATGCATGTGTATATGTAGCTATGAAATAATAATAATAATTATGAATAATAACATTTTTAACTTTTTTAGATATTACAATGACCAGAAACTTATTATATACGACGGTCAATGACCAAACATCGAAAATATACATACATTACAGCGCCGGGTACCAGTGCATTGGCTCTCGAATATGTTATTGGTCATTCACCGTAGCGTTAAGCTACAAGCACTGGCTATTTTTAATAGCTTTTCTCATACGAAAATTTACGAGATCTATATAAGTAATTGCATGCAAAATTTACAACTAAATATATATTTTTTTTGTGTGAAATATATTTTTTTGCATTCTTTTTCGAAAAAACAACACCAATTTTTTATTCCATGTTTTTATTTTTATTTTTATTTTTATTTTTTATTGCAGTCAATCAACTATTTGTCGGGGAAAATTAATTAAGTAAAAAAAAAGTGCGTAATAACCTCGGCTTTCAATTAGAGTGTGAGATAGATTTAAATAAATAATTCTTTGCATTAAAAAATTGTTTAAATTTTTTGTATTAATTGTTCACTAGGGTGGTCCAAAAATGCATGTGAAAAAGTAAAGTCGGAATTTTAATGCTCTCACCCCCTAGGATTGTTCTATACCGAAAAAAATATACCCATATTTTTTTTGAAATAAAAATATATTTAGTGGTCGCTCAAAGCGCTCAAAGTTTTCCATGTATTTTGATATGGGAAAAAAAACTTGTCGTGGAAATGGTATGGAATTCTTGAAAATTAATATTTTTCTCTCGGGAAACTCTGCAGGAGATTCCCAGTAATAATACCCAATTGTTTAGTTAACTATTTGTTCATCACAAATATATAATTTATATGTCCGCCAAAAACACACAAAAAAACCCTGAAAAATGCAATAGGGATAACAATAAAAAATCGTTAGTATTAAAACATGGTTAAATAAACAATTGGGTATTAATATTGAAAGTCCCCATATAAAAATACATGGAAAACTTTGAGCGCTTTGAGCGACCTCTAAACATTTTTAGATTTCACAATAAAAAATAGGGCTATACTTTTTTCGATATAGAACAATCCTAGGGGGTGAGAGCATTACAACTCCGACTTTATTGTTTTTGGACCACCCTAATGACACACATATGTACATGTGCAAACAATTTGTCAGCCGATAATGATAAGAACATAGCGCTTTATATCCACCTGCTGCCCAATACTATTTAGGTATATCATACCAAAATTTTCATATTCTTATCAGTTGTTATCTTCGTCGTTCACCATATTAAGCGCGAAGGTGAAAGTTTAAAATTTGGTTCATAATTTTCGATTTAATTGTAGTAAAAATCGTTATTAGTGATTAGGTGGCATAGGAAAATTGTAGTCCAGACACGAACCACTAAGAAAATAGAGAAAGCAAAAAGAGTTAACAGGGTGCGCATAGCTTAGCGGTTAGCGTTGATGGGCTTGCGCATCGATGATGCGTGTTCGATTCCTGCTGAAGTCTGAGAGAGAAAGAAATCTGATGAGGAGATGTGGTGATCTCCGAAATAGCAAAATATCGCAAAGTTTATTTTTAATATCATATTCTCAAGCATAAATGTGTGTGTGTTGTTTTTATTTCTTTTTTAGTACTAACAGTGTGTCACTGATCTGAGGACGGTTTTAGTAGCAACTTTACATTTACAAAAGCAAAGCTTTTAACTGTCATCGCTAAACGGGCAATCAGAAGACTTAATATTAAGGCAGACTTTATTCCAAAACATTAAATGTTTTTTTTTTTTTTGTTTTGTTGGTTGAGAAGGTCAGTGAGGTTGTCGACGCATTAATAAAATATAATTCATTTACATACA